CTCACCCATTTTGGTAAGGTTTTTTTTAAATGCACCGATATGACAGCTATCACCATACAGTCTAACAAAATTGTTTCGAATGAAGTTAAAAGACAAGCGCTACTAGAGCCATCTTATGGAAAAAACTGAACAAACTTTTTGGCCAACCCAATACTCTTCAGCTCCAGAATTTCTCTTTGCTTTTTATAATTTTTCTATCTTTACTTATATTTTCATTTTGCTCACATATTACTTTCCTGATTTCCTTTAGTTTTTAATATATAGTAAACCTTTAACTCACTGGAAATATTTAAGACAGTTGATTTCACATACCCGACTAATAATTCAAATGTCTGGGCTTCCTCAGCGATGTCAATTTTTTTTCCTGTGAATGCACCAATTCTTCCCTGTTTCTTTGTATATTTTGTAATTTTTGTTGAAAATTGGACATTTCAGTATTATTTTGGCGTAACTCGGGGAATTTAATTCTTCCATTCCACAGGGGCTGCTGAAGCTTAACTTACTGAGAGCTGGATTCATCCATTTATGAATTTTCCATACTATTTTGTAAGTTGTGTGCTCCTTGTCTTGTGTAGCAAAGTGGTATTTTTGTTTCATTGTCTCTGTCATCAGCTAGACCTGACAAAGATTCACTTAAATGTTTGGTTCCAAACAGCAGGGAGGTAGACATGTACTGTCTCTTTAACTCTCCTGGAAACCACTTCAGCCTGTGAAGGGGCTGGAAAAATGTCCACTAGCCTCTGTGCCAGTGCCTCAGTGATCAAAGCTTCATTCAGCAATCAGTACAAACCCTGATATACTGCCCACCCTGGCTCTAGCATTCTGCACCAGGATTGTGGAGATGGGTGATGTGGGACAGTAGCTGCTACCAGCAGCTGAAATTCCCCATTTTTTTTTAACATCTTTATTGGAGTATAATTGCTTTACAATGGTGTTAGTTTCTGCTTTATAACAAAGTGAATCAGCTATATGTATACATATGTCCCCATATCCCCTCCCTCTTGCGTCTCCCTCCCTCCCACCCTCCCTATCCCACCCCCTTTAGGTGGTCACAAAGCACCGAGCTGATCTCCCTGTGCTATGCGGCTGCTTCCCACTAGCTATCTATTTTACATTTGGTAGTGTGTATATGTCCATGCCACTCTCTCACTTCGTCCCAGCTTACCCTTCCCCCTCCCTGTATTCTTTACCAAAATCTTCCCTCGACCACAAATGTTCAACTCTATAGAATTCTGAAGTCATACTTCACATGGTTCCTGCCCGTGCAGCAGCTGTTTAGGTGGAGGTGTGGGTTCCTGGAACTCCCTGCTCTATGTTCTGAGACACCACTCTCCTTAGTTGCCCTCCTGATCCACTTTCTTAGACTAGGAAGACAGTGGTCACTTGTTTGTATGCTCCCCTCTTCTTCTGCTTCCCTCTACTATGAATCATAATGCACATTTTCATATTAGATACTCTGAGCACTCCTGTAATACAGTAACTAGTACACATTTAACCAGCCTTTCCCGAAGTTATTTAAGCACAAGGCCTTCTGGTCATATTCCTATGAAGACCCTATGGAAAAGTGCCCCATGGAGCAAGAGCTGACACCTGCTTCTCCTTCTTTCTCATGTAAGCATGAGTGACAGATTTCCTTCTCTTCTTCCCTCTAGTTTTTCAGATTATCCAGATTACTGTCATGGTGCTCATTTTTTCATTTTCACACTGCAGTAGTTTTCTATTTATTTCCTCTGAAGACACTCTGTAATTTTGGTGGGAAAAGACTGGCTGTCATAACAGGAAGATAATCTCACCCTATAAACAAACCTTCCACCTTCATCATTGCTTTACTCCTAGCAATTTCTTCATCTCACAGAATCCCAGGTGGCAAAGATGGAGCAGGAACAAAAGCAGCTGTGAACAAGCCTGAGGGCTCTACCTCGGCAGTTACCACACATGGCTTACACTGAAAACCAGACCAGCTGACAGTTTCTCTTTGGGCATCACAGTCTCTCTTGTGTTTACTCACGGCTTTAGGTATTGCTGGTGTCAAGAAGGTACTGCTGACTGTGCCATCAAAATCTGCCCCAAGTCTCCCCATTTTACTACATGGTGCCCTAACTCACTTGTTTCCTCAAGCCAGAAACTCAGAGGAATCTTGTTTCTTGTCTCTCCTTCACAAACCACATCAAATCCATCAGCACATCCTGTTGCTGCCAACTCTGAGATACGTACTGAATCTACTGTTTACCATCCTAGTCCAAGTTATCATCTTCCCGCACACTTGAGCTACTCCCAAAGTCTCCTGGATGCCTTTACTCTGGCCTCCTTCTAAGTTAGCCTGCACAAATTTCAAACTGTGAGTAAGATCACATCCTTCCTTTCCTAGACAGCAGGGAGGATTCAACACACCAGCTCTTTAACATTGTACACATTCTCCATCCTCACTTGCTGCCACTCCTGCTGCAGAATTCCCCTTCATCCATATGAGCTATGTATATTCCTGCATACACCATGCCACTCTGGCCTCTTGTTCTTTGCTAATTCAGCCTCCTCTATTGCAAATGCCCTCACAGCCCCTTCTTTGGTTCTTTCCAACTTAGCCTTCGTAACTTAGATAGATAATCAGCAACTCCAGGAAGCTACCTCAATCTGCTCTCTCCCCAGTACACGTACACACACACACACACACACACACTCTCTCTCTCTCTCTCTCTCTCTCTCTCCCCCCTACCGACCTATCAGTCATGCTTACCTCTTCACTGCTCTCACATCCTTTGTACAGACCTCTATTATTGTACTTCCTAGAGTCTTTATCACATGTTTATTTTACCTTTCTCTTCCACCATAAAGTGAGTCCCTTAAGGGCAGAGATGATTTGTCATTCATTTTGAATACTGTTTACCCATTATTTAGCACAAGGCTTATTATACAGTAAGTAAACATCAAAAAATGCTTCTTAGCGAATGTACAAATCAATGAAATACATTGATACATCCTCTCATTCAAACAGGGAACATAACAAGACTGGCAACATCTTGATGATTATCTAATACTCAACATTAATCATATAGTTATTGAATGTCTACCACAGGCCAAGCATTATTCTAGTCACTAGGAATACAGTAGTGAAAAAGTTTTGATTTGGAAGTTCTAGCCAATGCAATAAGACATGAAACAGGTAAAGAAGCAAAAGCATTAGGAAGGAAAAAACAAAATTGTTATCATAAGTAACATAATTGTATAAATAGAAAAGTTTTACTATACAAAACAGACATATGAATTGATAAGAATATCCCCCGGGCCCCAGTGAATATATGAGTAAAGGTTAAGAAAAACAATTTGCAAAAGAGAAGCTGTCATCAGTAAATAAATATAAGAGAAAGTATTCAGTTTGAGTATTCAGCAGCAGGTACTCTACTATGAGGTTTACAGTTTACTTAACTGTATCAAGAAATCACAGCAGTAACAGCAACAACAAAATGTATACCCTTTTGGGATTGACCCATATACACTACTGATGCTATGTATAAAATCGACAACTAATGAGAATATACTATATAGCACAGGGAACTCTACTTACTGCACTGTGGTGACCTAAATGGGAAGGAAATCCAAAAAAGAGGGGATATATGTATATGTATAGCTGATTCATTTTGCTGTGCAGTAGAAACTAACACAACATTGTAAAGCAACTATACTCCAATAAAAATTAATTAAAAGCAAAAAAAAAAGGTATATCCTTTAATCCACTAAAACAGTTCCTAAAATCTACTGAGAAATAACCCGAAATATGTAAATACATATATATGAATATCTATTAAAGAGTTATTTATGTTAGCAAAACAATGGATATATACTATATGCTGAGAATATGGAAAGAGTAAAGAAATTATAATGTGCAGTCATGAAAATGTTGACGGTGGTATTGACGTGACTGCTGAGAAACTGTCAGCAGTGGAAACAGCTATAAGCTTTACAAGTTATTATGGTAACAATATATTGAGAAGCACAAAACCCACATTCAAAGGTGTCTACTGCATCAGAAGTCAGGATCATGGTCACCCGGAGCAGGAGGAAGAGGAAGGAAAGGGGAGAGTGTTGCAGTCTCAGGTATGGACTGCATTCTACTTCTTGGACTGGACAGGAATGTATTCACTTTGTGATTACTTGATGAAACGTATACTTATAATCTGTGTACGATTCTATATTGTAATATTATATTGTTCAATTTAAAAATGTATCAGAAATTTAAATAAAATAAAGTAATGCAAGTTACCCTCTGATATCCTCAGCCTGTCTGTGGAAGAATTTAATTAGAGACTGATGATCACGCACTATGGACACAATGAAAAGATCCCTCGTCTGGGGAAGAAGTTTAACTTAAAGATCTTTAAGTTGAATTCAAACCTAAGAATTTAACAGATGAATGAAACTTAAAAACTGTCAATAAAATTAACAGCCCTTAAAACAAGTCTGCTCAAACCTTCCCTCTTCTTTTGGTGGTAAAAATTAATACCCTATGCAGAAGAAAACAAACATGGTATCCTCAAAAATAATTTCTGATCCACTAATGACCACTTATGCCCCTGAAGATCAAACCCTATTATGTCTTAATTCGTGATTTTTATCCCCCTAAAGTAATTAGCAAAGAAGTATTAAATTAATGTGTATTATCCTATTGTCACATAATCACTCTCACGAAAATTATATTTCTAAGAAAGATAAAAACAAAAACAGCCAGATTTCATAACAACACACCACTTAAGCAGGAATCTTGATGTGCTTGTTTCTCCCTCACCACCTCACCACCCCCGCCAAATTATCAAAAATTTGCTCCCAGAAATACAAACGAGCCATCAGAGACAGTTCAGAGCTTCTGTTACATAAAATCTATGTCGAATCCTGGCTCCATCCCCTGGCATTACTGTATAATAAAGTGACAAAAATGTTCCTGATAAAAAGGTCTTTTGAGACAAACTCACAGTTGAGGACTGTGGGGATCAGTTCTCTGCACTCACCAGGGAGGGTAGATACGGATGATGTCTTGTGGAAGTCCCCGGAGGCAGCGTGCAGTCTCCTTGGCGAAGAGAACCCTCAGGCCAGTCCCAGGGGCCCCACCCTGAGAAGAGCTGTCAGCCTGCAGCCCCGATAACTGCTCACACATTGCAACTTGGATGGTGCATTCCTCATGAAGCTCTAGAATTTTCACAGTTAATATACCAGATTTTATACCTAGAAGGTGAAGAAAAGAACAAAAGCAAAAATGAAGTCTAAAAGACATATGGTCCAAGTGTGAATAAAATTATCATGAAAAAGAGAATCACTTTCAGATAGCCTTCTTCACCTGGAGAAAATGGTCTATATATTGATACTTTGAAAAGTAAAATACAGACTCTAACATGCTCATGGTAACATCTTTTTTTTTAAATCAATATATCCTGCATGTTGCATTTAATATGTACATTTTAAGCAACATAAGAAACAGTTTTCTATCATAAAGAAACAGTCTTGCACATACGGAAAACTCAGATCCATCACTTCACAAAGCATGTTTTCACTCCAAAACTTGAACCCTTTCAAAAATCACAACAAAAGGAGTATGACCGGGTCCTCTCCACCTCATTACCTGCTCTGATTGTCTACTTTGAAATGACACAGTATGACTGGCCGGCTGCAAGTATTCTAACGATCGTGGACGTTCAAAGTTGAGGATTTCTGTGGACTGATGGGAGTTAGGGCTCTAAATTTAAATGGGTGGAATTCGATCTGGATTCAATCACTGGGTCTCTTATTAATTAAGTTGGCCAAGTTACACAGCATTTAAACACCTCATTTTTCTCATGTGTAAAATGGGGATCATGCCACCTGCCTCGATTAACATTTTTAAGAATTAAATAAGATAGATAAAGTTGAGAGTGTGCATAGCCTATAACCTGGAAATCCCAGCTATGTACCCAGGAACTCTGTCACATGCACCAGGAGATCTAGACAAGGCTGCACATCTCAGTGTTGTTTGTAAGAGGAGGAAACCCAGCATGAGTCCATAGCCAATGGGTAAACTGTGGTGGGTTCATGGAAGAGACACTCTACAGAAGCTTATGTGAATGGACCTGATCTGTACATATCAGCTTGGAGAGATCTCAAATAAAAGAGGGGTAAACAGATATGTACAGCCTAACACCCATAATGTTATTTTTCTTGAACACAAAGACTAATAAAACATTGTTACAGGTACATATGTCATACAGGTACATAAATATGGACTAGCAGGACACACAGAAAACTCGTTGTAGCTGTTGAATCATGCGAGAAAGAGGAGTGTGACTCAGGAAGGGAACCCAGGGGATTTCAAACTTATCTGCCGTATTGTTTGTTATAAAAGATTAATATGTGTTATTAATTCTAGGTAGTAAATACACTTTTTTTATTACTGTCTGCTTTTTAGTTAAAAAAATAAATGAATTAAATGAGATAAAACCGAAGTGTCTGGCACAGTGCCTTGCTAATAACAGACACCAATATGACTTTCATTACCACTTTAGCTAACTGGTTAACAGTGAGTATAAAAATTAACATTTAAACAGTACCAGCGCCTTAGTTATATAGTTTAATTTCGTTTCCATTTCTTTCTCCCTTTCACTTTTCTCTAGTCATTTTCCCCTGGACCCCAAGTTTTCCATGCCCTGCTCTCTCTGAGTGCCTTCAGCAAGCGTTCATGTATGAAGCAAGGTCATGGCATCTCCCCAGAGCACTATCTGGAACTATGATTTCTAAGTATGTGTCTATCGTGAGACTGTTTCTCAAGGTAAGAAGGAAACAGAAGGGGGAAGGATGTGACCAAGCACATCCTAAGCTGTGCTGGCTCAGCTGGGCTGGTCACTATGGAGAGTAAAACACACTGGAAAGAACGGTGCTGCCTAGGAAGTGAAGACTCAGCCTGCTCTGCCGCGACAGGTATCTTTTTAATAAAAAGCAGCTCACCTCAGCTGGTGAACAGGAAAAGAAGTCAGGATATGTGGGGGTCACTGCGGTGAGCACACCGTTTTTCCTGGGCAGGGCAGCAATGCAGTGGGTAGAGTTCAGCTCACTGGCAGCAAAGGGAAAAGCCCTAGTGGTAGGGACTGCACTAGCCACAGGCAAATTTCTGGACATACTTTAGGAGTTTTTAAAACTTTTACCTGTGCTCAGGGGTTACCCCCAACACTATCCTCGGCCACCAGCAGCGGCCGCTGTCCAGAGCCCCATGGCCCGTGCTCTCCAGCACCCACTGTCCTGCTGGAGTTCAAGCGGCCAGTGGTGCCCGGGCAGCACCGTTCTCCCTTCGGGTAACCAATTACTGGCACGTGCGGCTGATTAAAAAGCGATATAGGTTTTCAGCGGTCTGCCCCCAACCCTACAGTCCACATAGACCCTGACAGATTTTACAAAAGGCAAGACACTACAGAAACACATAAATAGTATTACAGCAGAAATACCTATATATCTATGATGAGTCACACTGCTACTGACTGCAGTTTCTTTGAAGATTTTTATGAGAACTCCTGACAATATCTAATAACTATGAACCCTGATTTGACCATCACCACAGCATGCTTGGTGACTAAACAGGTTTGGGAGTGCTATCTTGGATGCACACAGGGCTGCGAACAGCACTTCCCCACCAAGCACCGTGAAGTCCCTCCCACAGGATATGCTCCCACACAGGCCTGAGGAGAAGCCAGTGGTCTGCCTTCCCTGCACAAAGTAAGCAGCGTAATGTCCTCTTCCTCTGAGGGAGAAGGAGCCTGGGACAACCCAAGACAAGTTATGCATTCGATGCAAGCTTTCAATCTGAGCACAAGAGATGCTGGTTTTACAAACGAAGAAGACTGTTCTGCAGTTAGATGGAGGAAACATAAAAGGCCATTCTGTGACAGTGGGGCAAGTTTTCCATAAATGCTGTGAGACTCAGCCAAAGTTTCATGTTGTCAAGGAAGTGTCTCCGGAATCTCAGCCAGAGGCAACTATTCCTTCCCTCTGAAATCCTCAAATACCTTATCTACACTTACAAGTATCCTCCTTTTTAAATGGAGATAGTATCAGCTATAGTCAAGAACACTGCAAACATTGAGAGAGAGAGAACAGAAAGCCTACAGTGCAGGGCCTGGTCTGTCACCCATACAATAATGGCCGCCACTGTCATCAGTCACTGTCACAATGTCAACTTTTCAAGGCATTTTCAAATCTATTACGGTACTTGACCCACAACAGCCCTATGCAATAGGTAAGGAAGATATTAATCTCCCTTTTTGACAACTAAGAAAACTGAACAAGTTAGTTGCTCATATGACTTTCTTAAGGTTAGAGAGGATTACTGGCAGATTTTATGCTCAAAACTGAGTATTCTCACAAGTCCTATACTTGCAGTGTCTCGAGGGTAAATGGCAGTTAAAGACAGGAAACTGAGGATGCTTTTTTTCTCTATTTTATTATGCTCAAACGTCGGACTTGTTTAAATGTTTAAAAAAAAAGAAAAAGAAAAAGCACACCAGGTTGAGAAATGGACTCAAGTGAGGCTTCTCACTGGTTGGGCACAGTCAGGATTTCAACACTGAAAAGGAAGAGTATAATTTGACAGAAACCAAACGCTGAGGAAGAAGTGCCCCGAAGACCAAATGGAAAGCACAGATATCAACACAGCACGAAAGTGGTTAAGACACAGGAACAGACGATTCACAGAGGAAATACACCACAGGATCTAGTAATTTCTATCCATACATATGCCGAGCAGATGAAACACTCTGTAGTTAAAATGGCAAATAGTTAACTTAAAGGCTAACATTTGATGAATGAATGCATGAATGAGTGAGTGATTTATTTTATCAGCAAACTACTCTAAAAAAAAAGTCTTTGATTTTAAATGAGCAAGAGGCCACAAAAGAATCGAGCAAGTAATATAAGAACAAAATATATTTTTGATTCCTGGCTTAAATGACTTATTTGAAATACACAGGTGGCTAGGGTCCATTTATATGCATGTTAATTCCAATCCTCCTCAGTGGGTTATGCTGATGAATTAATATATATTGTGAGGAAAACATTCATGAATACTTATACAAAAAATACTATACAAGAAATTAACAAAAACTATAAAAGAAAGTACCAGGTGAAGCAAGTTAGTACGGGGGGAGAAATACTGAAATCATCCTCCTATAGAGACAGAAACATCTGTAATTTTTTATCATGAAATACTTTTCATAATATAATTGTTGCACTAACTTTAAGCTGTTCCACTTCATTATCCACAAGATGACTGCAGAGTAATTTGGGATCCTCCCTGTATGATTACTCTCTTTATCTTCATAGATATTCTAACAGGCTAATCCATAAAGCGTCTTGATTTAAAATATATGTCCTACTATTCTCTGAAACTGGTACTTTTTCTCTTCTTCAGGCCAAATCATCAACAGGTGCCCACCATTACTTTTTTCCTCAGTCCTCACCCATCATGTACACACACACATACACACACACAGACTGGGGTAGGAGGGCAAGACAGCACAGCAAGGGTCAGGGATGGAGATCAGGGGAGTTTAAAGTACACCTGCTTCCTGTGCAGACAGAGGAGCAGGTTTCTCTCTCTCTCTCTCTCTCTCTCTCTTTGTGTGTGTGTGTGTGTGTGTGTGTGTGTTAGGGGCAAGGGACAGGGGTAACAGTGGTGTCATGATATCAGTGTTGGATCTATTAAGGCTGAGATACCTCTTAGTTATTACAGCCTGGCCCTAACTGACCTCCGCAGTCTGGTACCTGACTACTCTGCCCTAACACAAGGCCCTCCAGAGTGGCCCTCTGGTACGTGTAAATTTAACGACAGCCACCTCTGTTCTTGAATCCTTCAGGCGCCAACCACTGAGTAATCCAGACAACCGTCCACTGTTTAGAGACACCTTTGTTACCAGTTACTTCTCACTGCTCTACCCTCAAATTCCACAACTCTACTCAAGTATCTTTAAATTGTTTCTATACCCATACTTTAAGAAAGCATTTCACCACCATCTCCCAGGTGAATTCTCTAACCACAGTTCTGCTTTTCCATTCAGCAGGGTTGATCATTGTCCTTTATGTCATCACTGTACCACTGTACCAAGATTTTAACACATGAAATGAATAATTTAGTCTATTAAATCATGAACTCTGTGCTGTACTTGGATAAATACCAATAAAATATATAAGAGCTGAATGAACTCGAATAA